GATAGATAGATAGATAGATAGATAGATAGATAGATAGATAGATAGATGCATCCATACATGTATAAATGTAATAAATTTTTGCTTAAAAATCAAAAGGGTTCACTAAAGTGGTTGAAGTCATTATTTTGGGCAGGTTGAAATTGCATGAAACTTCCAGGTTTCCATGATCAGCTTAAGTGTGGTGAAACCCTTGGATGGCTCTGTGGCGCCGGCTTTCATTGAATGATCCTTTTAGCCTAGGATCTCTCTTCTCCCCTGGCTGGGTTTAGCAACACTAATAGGAGTAGTGGATCCAGCTGTCCGAATTCTGGGTGTCTACTATCCTGTGCTTGCTCCCCAAACATTCTGCTGTACCGATGATTGTTCAGTGTTTATTGAGACCTGTCAGTGGGCAGCGTGAGGGATGAGGAAGAACACTCAACCTAATGAGCTTAATTGGCGTGCCTCAGCTTAATTCATTGCCAGCAGCGTGCAGAGAAAATGGAACAGAAAGGTCCGTGGTGTTTTCTGCTAGCTTGGTTATTTACAGACCATCACAAGAAAAGAAAGAGCTCACTTCCTTGTTTCCCTCAAGAAAGTGCTTTCTGAAGAACTTTCTAGATTATCCCAGTAACTATGCACTCTTGAGGCCTGGTAGGTCAACACCAGTGACCCCTGCATTTAAACCCAACAGTAACTTTTCCAGGACAGAAGCCAAATTCCTAACCAGGCAAACACAGCCCTCACAGTGTGGACTAGCCCATGTCTCACTCTCAGGGTAACTCCCATCTCAAAGTCCCGCCACACACCCCCCATCAGTTCCGGACTAGCTCTCAGTTCCTTGAAACCCTGCCACCTTCCCATTGCGTGACACCTTTGCCTGTATTAGTTTAGTTCCTATCTTCTTTGTGTGACAGATTCCTCCAATATTTTAAGAGGCAGCTCATTCTGAGCACAGGGGCACACACCTGCCCAGCACTGAGTTGGAGGTCAGCCTTGGTTACATTGGAGAGCCTTTTTCGGGATCTCAGGTCAAAATGCATCTACTGTTTGAAGGTCACAGTGACACCTATAATGGTGGCTCCTCCTTATGAAGCACTTTTCATCAGTGACACTGGAAGAGAGATTTTTATTCCCGTTTCCCACATTCTAGATGAAGCCCTTGAGACTCTTAGAGGTTAGCTCACCTGCCTAAGGTCTCAGAGCAGAATAGGAAGGGGCAGACATACGAGTGAGGCCTGCAGGATTCAAGAATATCTCTTCTGTAAGGCTTAGGTCTGAAATGTCCTCCAAAACCCTGTGCACAGATACGTAAAGTAACTAGTGCAATCCCCTCTTTCCACTGATGTGACTGACATGAAGTGTCACAGTACTTCCTGGGGACATCAGGATCCTGTGTGAGCACAGACTAGGTCTGGAATAAGTGAGCTCTGAACAGCACAGGTAATTGCTGATTTTATTACTTTATTGCCACCCAGGAGGTGTGTTCCCTGAAGGTTCCTAAGATACAGATTTGCTATGCTATGCACAGATCCATCCTGTCCCTCAGAACAGAGAAGGCCAGCATGCAACCTTCCAGATCCATTCTCCCACCCAGTATTTCTTTGTTGCCTATGGAGATAGGAGAACATGACTTTTAAGGTGAGATACGGGTAGTCTGGAGCCTACGTTCAGTCCTTGAACATATTTAGAATTCTCCAAGCTTCAAGGTCCTCGTTTGGCAAATGAGGAAAATAACAGTTGCCAAGGCAGAATGGGATCACGCCTACAGCAGCTGGCGCAGTCCTGACAACAGTGGGTTCCGAATAAACAGCATCCATAACCAGCTCTGGCCAGTCATATGGATTTCTTCTCATGTGTGACTCCATCGGGGGTTGAAAATATTCTTCTCAAGAATGTTTCCTCTCTAAATGATGGATCCTGGGGTTATTTAACTTTCAAGGTTAAAGGAATGAAACTTAATGGCAAAGTACCAACCACATAAACAAATCTTCATTCCGTTTCCATCATACAGCTGCTTAGGTGACTGCCATGCCTAGTAGGTGGAGTCCTGACTCATGTCCCCCTGTAGCTAATTCTAAGGATTGCTTTGTCCTAGAAGGAAGGCCTGAACCCAGTGGACTGCTGAAGGCAGATTCCTTATTAGATAGACTCCTAGGCAAAAGATAAAAGTGTGTGTGTGTGTGTGTGTGTGTGTGTGTGTGTGTGCGCGCATATATGGGGGTTGGTTTTGTTGATGGTTTGTTTTGTTTTTGCTAAGGTTGATTGAGTACTTTATCCTGTGAGCCAGTGATTCTCAACCTTCGTAATGCTGCGACCCTTTAATACAGTGCCTCATGTCATGATGACCCTTATCTGTAAAATTATTTTGTTGCTGCTTCATAACTGTAATTTTGCTGCTAGTATGAAGCATAATGTAAATATCTGATGTACAGGATATTGACCCCCATAAAGGTCATTCAGCCCCTCCCCCTTAGGAGGTTGGGAACTCCTGATGTAAGCGAGAAGCTGACCATGTATTCTTCAATTCAGCCTCAGGACATTTGAAAAGACAGATACAATTGTTTTCATCACTTTACATAGTAGGAAGATGGGGCTTAGAGAGGTTATGTCACTTGAGCAGGATCACTAGCGAGAACATGGGGAAGCAGAAAAGAAGCTAATCCTGCCTCGCATCAAAGATGGAATTCTTGTTTGCCATTTTACTCCATTAATGTTTAAGATGGATTTCAATAACATTTTATGGACATTTTTTTTCACTTTTATTTTATTTTTTTATGTGTATGGATGTTTTGCCTGCCTGTATGCCTATGTACCAAATGTGTACCTGATGTCCACGGAGGCCGGAAGAGGCTATTGAAGCCCCTGGAATTGGAGTTACGGCCAGTTGTGAGCCACAACATGTGGTGCTGGGAATTGAACCTGGGTCCTCTGGAAAAACAGTCAGTGCTCTTTAACTGCTGCACCATCTTTCCAGCCCCTAACTTGTGTGTGTGTGTGTGTGTGTGTGTGTGTGTGTGTGTTTGAGTGTTTGCCTACATGTATGTGTATCACACATGTACAGTACCCAGAATGGCCAGAGAAGGCGCTGGACCTGGAGTTGCAAACAGTTGTGATCTGCCATGTGGGTGCTAGAAACTGAACCCTCTTCCTCAGCAAGAGCTGCAAACAATTTTTTTTGTTGTTGTTGCTATTTTTAGAGACAGGGTTTTTCTATGTAACAGCTCTAGCTGTCCTGGAACTCACTATGTAGACCAGGCTGGCTTCGAACTCACAGAGATCCACCTGCCTCTGCCTCCCTAGTGCTGGGATTAAAGGTGTGCACCCCCACTGCCCATTGTGTAAGTAGTTCTTAATGACAAATTAGCAGAATCGCTTTCATTCATAAAAGTCGCCGCTTTGCCCTGCCCTAGTGGAGAGCACAGTCCTGAAGCTCCAACTGTGGAGCCTAGAAAGGGCCAGATGGGCGCCATGTGGCTGGGTAGTGGGTTGGACACTAGGGTGTCCTTAACAGCTTGCTAAAGTGCCAACAGTATAACCGTTTCCTCCACCACCACCCCCAAAAAAAAGTTTCTCATACATACATTGCTTCAGTACACTAATCCCAGTGTCAAAGTTCAAGATAAGCCATTTCTTGATCAGGTATAGTGGCACATGCCTTTAATCCCAGCACTTGGGAAGGAAGAGCCAGGTAGATCTCTGGCAAATTTGAGATTAGCATGGTCTATATATCAAGTTCCAAGACAGCTAGCTATATAATAGAGACCCTGTCTCCAATGACATAAAATACAAAAAAAAAAAAAAAAAAAGACGAACCATTTTCCAAGTGCATCACCCACCTTTGTAGGTGGGTCATTTTTAACTCTGACCACACTGGTGAAAACCTGGTGCTTCACTTGCAAAGATTCTGATCTAATCCATTTGGGATGTTATTTTTAAACTAAACCTAATCTTACCATTTTACCAATAAAGACTCGGGAGTCAGATGCTGGGGTGAAAACCTGCTAGCTCAGAGAGGCTGAGAAGCAACCCACTGACCTTCCTCCTTAGCCAATGTCCCAGAAAAAAATGAGGTTCTCTTCAATAGTCCCAAGCCAAAAAGGCTGCCAAACTCAAAGTCCCTCCTTCCTACTTCCTGCAGGTTTCTCTGTTTCCCTGTCTCCCTCTGACTCTCTATGGCTGCTTCCTGTCACCTAGTCGCTGGCTCCGCTTCTTGACCCATGGTTGATCTTATTTAACTAATGCAATCTCAGGGTTCACAGTATGATCAAATATCCTGCAACAGGGTGTGGCCAAGACAGCAGTAACTTTAACCTAAGCTCACCTCACGATCTGTGCAGTTGAGAAACACCGTTCTAGGAAAGTGATACCCTAGATACCGCTCCTGCTCAGAAGAGTTGCCAAGGTAGGTGATAGGGCTAATCTACATGACTGGTATTTTTCCAGCTTCAAATTTTATCAGTTTAACTCTTTAGAGCAACTTGTGCTTGCTTATGACAGTAAATGACTTCTGGATGTGGCCAGAGGGCTCTGTGGGTAAAGATGCTTTGTCACCTAGTCTCCTGACCTGAGTTCTAGCCCTGGGATAGAGGAGAAAGAATTTTTATGTGGTGGAAAGATTAGTTAGGTAGCGCATAACGCAACCCAGAGCAAAGCCAGAGGCCAAGCTTAGTAGCTCATGCCTATGATACTAGTTCTCAAAAGAATGAACTCCACACTCACATGAGTGTGTGTGTGCACACATACACACATACTAAAAATTTTTTTAAGTAAAACAAAAACCCCACCTCCCCTTCCATGACATACCCCGATGGGTGAGTAAATTTGACAAAACATTTTGTTTAATGCCTTCTCATTTAAGGCATGAGTGACGTGTAATAGGGTATGGCCATTATTATTGCCATTGTGTCTGTTACTTTACGGGACCTTCAACAACTCTGACACCTCTCTTCTCCACTGGACTTTATGATTTGCTTTTGGTTGAGTATCAAATGATTGATCCGAATGTGTTTTGTTCCCAGGACAAACTCTGCAGCATCTCTCCCCAAACAGACCTAAATTCAGGGATCTCCCTTTCACTCGGAACAGCCTTGCACCTCTGCCGGACCAAAAATGTGAGTACTCGCATCCCCCCACCCCCACCCCCAGCGTTCTCCACAAACATAAGCATGTCTAGACAAACACAGCAGCACTTTACTTCCTTTCTATTTTTTCCAAAGAGTGCCAGGTGTCAATACTTGTGCACAGAGAACATCCCTGAAAGGTCCTTGAAATTAGTAATGCCTACTTAAAAAAGAAAATCTTTTCTCCCCTCAGGGAATTTTGTTTGAAATGCAAACACAATAGCGGAAGTTTATTTAGCTATGTATTATTTAATCTCTTTAAGAATGTACTTTCAGCTGGATCTGTTGGGGCATGGCTTTAATTCCAGCTCTCAGGAAGATCAGAAGTTCAAGTCTAGCCTTGGGTGTCTAATGATGGAATTTGAAGCCAAGCCTGTGCTACATGAGACAAGACTCAGAAAGGGAGGGAGTCCGAATGTGACTGATTTCTTTACTGTGTGAGACCTAGAAATGATTTACTTGCAGAGCAAACATTCCTAAGCAGAAAGGAAGTGCTTGGTTTGTTGGGCTTGGTTCTGCTTTGTTTGAGACACAGTCTCACTGTATAGTCCAATGTGGCCTTAAATTCTCAGTCCTCCTACTTCAGCCTCCCAGATGTAGAATTGCCAGTCTATTCCAACATGCTTAGTTTCTTTAGTCGGCTTTATTAATTTATAGTCACACTATTTTCTCTAAAACTCCTGTAATATAAAGCATACTCTCTTAGACCAGAAATCTTCAAACTGAATGAGCCTAAATATCACCTGACATGCTTATTATAGTGATCTAACACCCAGAAATTATGAGTTTATATATCTTTACATCCATGCTAGGAGGCGGGGTTTATCACTACTCCCATTAGACAGGCAAGAAAACTGAATCCAGAAAGGACTTTTCCCAGCATCACTGAGGTAGCACCTAGCACAACGGGGAACACCGCCAGAGGCCGCGCATAGGGCCCCATGACTGTAGAGGTGGTGCTCAAAAGGCTAAAGCAAGACGACAGAATGTGAGGCTAGCCTGTGCTACATAGCTGTGCATACACATACAGCCTGAGCAATAAAGATACTATCTAAAAGCAAACAAAAAGAGAATCAGCCGCCTCATGAAAGAAGTCAATTTAGTTTCTTCTTTATACACAATCCGACCCTGTTGAACACACACACATACACACACATACACACAGCCCCTCCACATTCAACTGGGAGTTAGATCGTGTTGGAACTGGTCTAACAATTCCAGACAAGCTCCTAAACCTTTCCCCTCTGTAGCTGCAGTAACAACGCGATCATGATGAGACCATCAGAGGATTAAATGAGACAACATACCTATATGCCTAAGACACTCGGCGTATTTATTTACACAAAGTGAGCAGGCAAGACGCCTTCTGTTCCCTAGGCTAGAGTCTGAATGGGGCCAACCAAGCGTTCTAGGACTCTAAGTCAAAGCAGTGAACTATGGGGTCAAGATACAATGTCACCTTTTCATAGTGATGTAAACTCAGAGCTGGAGTCCAAAGTCAGAGAGGTAGAAGTAGAGAGCCAGGATTCCTTCCTGACGGGCTGATCCTCTGCCCTTACTGATTACTGCCAAGTGGGGATTCTGAGCCGAGTCGGAGAGAAATCCCAGGCAGCACTCCCTTTCAGTCCGCTCCTTGACCTTGAATGTAGCCTGGTGAAGCCAGAGAGGCCTTCTCAGGGCGACAAGACAAAGATCTCTAATCAGTTTTGCTGAACGCAGGAAAAAAAAAAAAATCGAACAAGCTTTCTAACAGAAACCCGAGAGCCTTTGGAGGTTTGCATGAGCACTAATGTCTCCAGGCTTGTCCAGAGCAGTGTGCCGAGCTGCTCCAGCGCCAAGTACCCTGCCAGGCACGCACAGCCAGATCACGTGGAATCCGAGCTGTCGCAATCCTGTGTTTGTGCATTTTTCAAACCCCTGATGTGTAGTAGGCCTGGTTAAATATGAACACACAGGTTTTCTCCATAGACCAGCTCTCACCAGCACAGGCTTCTTAGAATGCCTCTTCCACTCCTTGAGAAATCGCGGGGTTCTCCTGCGCCATCCCGTAGGGGCCTCTGGAAGAAGCAAATCTGTATCTTTCATTCTATCCCCTGACCCTTCTCCAACCCAGTTCTATCTGGAGAACCCCTGAGAACAAACCGAGTACTTCCTGCGATTCCAAGCCAACGGGGTCACGGCCCACCAGGTGAAGAAAGCAAGCCGTCTGCCAGTCCCACCCACGATGAAAACTGACTGGGGTCGCTCCCTGTGGAAATCTAGAAGATCTATATTTTTCAACTTCTGTGGGTGAGATTACTCTAGTTTTTGTGAGCAAAGTCTTAATTTAGTTAGATGTGTTCTACAAGCCATTCACAGTTTTATACTTCAAGATTCCTTATTTCGAATAAACACACTTCCTAAATACGCACTTAAAATCTTCGGGTGCGCAAACACTACCAAGTCTATTAATTCCTGTGAGCCCCCTACACACTGTAATTCAGAAATACATCACTGGCAGGAAGATTTAGTGTGTTTCATTCATGTTTATGGCATGTTTGTTGTTTTTTCTGGGTTGTTTAGGGGGTTGGGTTTTTTGTTTTTGCTTGTTAGATGATTTTATGTATTTTTTAAGTGTATGCTTTGCTGAATAAAAAAATATATATGAGAAAAGTAAACCCTAGGCTTGCTCTTCACATTTATTTCCGTCCTGCCTCAGCCAGACAAAGCCTAATTAAAATCCAGTACTAATTTCCTATCATAGTCACAGGGTATGGCTATAAAATGCACAATCTTCTGCAAAAATACTTTCTGATATTGTCAGCTCTTGGCTAAGACCCAGGTCACTTGACGGCATATGTGTTTTGTCTCTGTTATTTAATTATTTCCACCTTCTGTTGTTTTCAGACACATCTGATGCCCCAATAATAAGAAGGGTCATGGGAGCTTGCAGGGTGTGCTTCCTGGCCTGACTGAATTTCCCACCGTTCCTCAAATATTGCACATGTTAAGAACTCTTTTCTGTTTCAAAATAATGCTTTTTATTTTTTAATGCCTTCTAGGCCTTCCCAAAGTTGAGGCTTAGCAAAGTTCTGGAAAACTACTGTTAAGTATTTTGGAAATTCCTGGTTTTGGGGTCCCTCTGCCAATGCAATAAGCCAAATCAAGCAAAATTAATAAGATCAGGTTTAACAAACAGAGCAGAGCAAAGCAGAGCACTCCCAGGTGACTCTCAGAAGGGGGAGGAGAAGAAATCACATGGCAAGGCTAGGACCCAGGCCTTAAATACCCTGGAGGTGTGGTCTTGAGCATCTCAGTGGGAGGAGTTGCCCTTTAGGTGTTAGGAGAGGGAGCAGGGGAGCTGAGGCAGAGCTTCCCCTAAACAACTACCTCTTTCACTGAGAAGGTGGTGTAGCTGGAGGCCTTGCCTAAAGTCACCTGAGGTGACAGTCACTCCATGTTATTGCAGAGTCTGCAGAGTTTGGAACCGTGTCAAGTGTAACACTTGCTACTTTATATTAGGGTTATTCTCTCGTGAGAATAACCCTGCTGTTACGATCTGAAACCTTCGTCTCGCGGAATATTCCAGACCCAAGGTAGACCCTCAAACTTTGCCTCCCCGCCCTAGGGAGTAGAGATGTAAAGAGGGTGTTGTCAGGGGCAGGAGTGATTAGAGGTGCTGAGGGCAAACGCATCCAGTGCCCAGTCCGGGATGGCTGGGCTTGAGGCAGTGAAAGAGAAAGCAGAAGGCTCAGCCTCCTATACTGAGCTGAGTCTGAGGAACAGCAAATGCCCTATCTTACAGAGGAACCTTTTCTTTCAATTTTATTTATTTGTTTATTTTACATCCCAACCTCGGCTTTCCCCTCTCCTCTTTTCCCATTCCCCTCCGCCCGCCCCCACCCCCGCCGCCTCCCTTCCCCCTGTCCACTCCTCCTCTGTCTCTATTCAGAAAGGTGTAGGCCTCAGCGGGGATACGTGGTGTTCCCTGGGAAAGTGAAATAGAAGAGATTTCATGGGTGCACTGGGGGCAGGTGAGGACGGGAACATGAGGATCAGGTTCGGGGGATGGATGAAGGCGGAGAAAACTGAAAGAGGTGACTGGAAAGGGGGAGCTTTTCAGGGTCAAGGTGGAAACCTGGTGCTAGGGAAATTCCCAGGAATCCACAAGGATGACCCCAGCTAAGACTCCTAGCAATGGTGGATGCATAGCCTGACCTGGCCATCTCCTGTGAGCAGGTAAGACTTCCAGTAGAGGGGGATGCCAACCCAGCCACACACACAACCTTTGACCCTCAGTCTGTCTTGCCTATGGCATGTGCTGGGGTAAGGGTGGCACAGAGTTTGTAGGAGTAGCTAACCAATGACTGATCCAGCCTGAGATCCATGCCACCAGAGTGAGTCCACCCCTGACACTGCCTGGAGTGCCGGGACCCAGAGACTGGATGACCCAGAGACCTAGGAGAGAACCAAACCCAATTGGAGAAGAGAAAATGTTCACGTAATGATGCCTAACAATGTTCTGCTATACTTGGTGACCACCCCAATTGTCACCAGAGAGCCTCCGTCCAATAACTGATGGAAACAGATGCAGACCTGGACCACGCGCATGTGTGCTCTATGCGCCACCATACAGTTCATGGACCAGGCAAGGGTCTGGAGATTGAAACACACAAAGATACAGAGACACAGGTCATCCTTGATGCCAGAATGCCCCAAGAATGCCCCCCTTATTGTGTTCAGGGCCAGCTTATATAGGGATCCTTAATTAATAGTCACGCCCCAGCCAAACGTACCAGAAATCATTCCCCTGCCATTAGGAACTCCTGAGGGCCTCGTGCTCAGAGCAGCTGTAGGCACTCAGATCAGGGGAAACAAGTTGTTACAAGAAATTCAGGATCTGGGGGTTCACAGCTACCAACACAGACCCACAACTGAACATTGGGCTGAGCTCAGGGAATCCTGCTAAAGAGAGGGAGGAGGGATTGTAGGAATCAGAGGGGTCAAGGAACCTTTAAGACGTAGCTTTCAAAGGGTTTTCTTTTCCTACCGTTTTGTTTGTGGGACGCTTTTGTCCTTGAAGTCTACCTGTTTGTAAGCATCAGACTGTTAACTTGTTCAGTGTTTTACCAGGCAACGTTAGAATCCATTTTCACCCACTAGAAAAACGCCTTTCTCTATTCTACCTAGACTAGTCAGGACAGGCCAGCTTCTGCTTCAATAATAAACATCCCCAAAGTCTCCTTGGTCAAGGCATTTTGTTCCTCAGCCGCAATACAGGTCCCCTACCCATTGGCAGAGTTGGCTAGTATAGATTCCATCTCGACACGGTTTCCGTGGTGATCAAAGCTGAGGAAATGAGCTGTGAGTCACCATTTCCTCTCACGTTTCCTTTGTCAAATCAAACTGTGTGAATGTGACCAACCTCAAGTGGGGGAGAAGTACTGAAGTTCAACCTCTTTGTATCTGCAGGAAAGGGGGAATTAAAATGTTAATAAATGATCATAACAATGACCACACTAACCAAAACGAAGAGATGGAGAGAACCCCTGATTGAGTAGATGATAACAAACAAAATTTTAAATGTATTCATCTACGGGCAAAGCCATCATCACCTAACATCTGGGTTGACTTAGGCACACACATGAAGAATTTTTCAGTATTGGGCCTTTTGTTCAATTTGGCATGGGAATTTTTGTTAGCTATAAAGATGTGGGTGCTGTTACTGCCACCTCTTCAAATACAGCAGCTGCCCCTCTGCCATGAGGTACAGTTGCTTATGGCACAAGTTGGTCATCGGCTGCTCTTTAACTGACAAAACTAGAGACTGAGAACCACAGTTTGCATCTTAAATGGTTGTCGAAGGCCTGTGTGTTAAAGGCCTCATCTCTGGCTTGGTGCTATTAGGGAGTGGTAGAATCTAAAAGGGGTGGGGCTTAATAGAAACTCTTCCGGCCATTGGGAGCCTCGAAGGGACCACTTGGACCCTGGCTGTGCCCTTGTGTGCTTTGTATTCCTCATCATGGCCATGTGCCATGCACTCCCCAGCATGGTGTGCTGCCTCCTGTGGACCAAGAAGCAACAAGGACAATTGATGAGGAACCCAGACCTCCAAAACCACAAGTCAAAATAAGGCTTTCCTCCTAGAGCTGAGCCCCCAGGTATGTCAATACAGCTATGGAAAGCTTGCTCACTAACACACTGCGGATTCGCCAGGGTTGGGGTTAAATTCAGGGGTCGAGTGTCTACTCCTGCACATGAGGCCACATATTCAGTCCCCAGCATTACAGGGGGGAGATCACCAATCAGTCCTTTGCAAAAGATTCAAGCAAGCTTTTTTTCCAAAATGAATATTTCTTGTTGGATCACTTACGCTTCCCTTCATCACTAGGAATGTGTCATTTGTTTCCGTGCATAAACAGAGTGTTTCGTTTGACTTCCTCTGTCAACATCTATGATTGGCCCAGTCATTCCCCTCTCCCTCTTACAGACAGATAGTGTGAGGCAGAAAGACAAGATAAGAAACTTGCCCCCCATTACATGGCTTATAAATGACATAGCCAGGCTTACTAAGTAGGTTTCTTTTGCCCCACTGCCCACACACAGAATGCCCAAACTATCATTTTCTTGGTCCATAAATTCATTCTCATCTCACAGTGCAGTAAATCTTTCTTGACTTGTATGTAGTCTGTCCATCTGCACAGGCAAAGTAAAGCCACTGTCTCTATGGGCAGGAAGTACATATGGGAAGTCATGGTTATTTTCTCCATATTTCTTAGTTCCCTGTGGAAATCACCTGGCTTAACCCTGGTGTCACTTCTGCTAGTGAATACGTAATTCCATTGTTCTCGTCTTCTTGGAACTAAGCCAGTATAAATAGATTTCTGCAACTCCAGATTGTTTATTTTAACTCGACCAAAACACAGCTTGACACTCGTGTGATTTTAGAAAAGTCCTGTAAGTAACAGAGGGAAGACAAACATAGTCATTAATGTTGCTTTGACCTCTAGTCTTTTAAATTAGCCCATGCTTGTCTTCCAGCAAATGCTTCCTGGCACTTGGATAGTGGTCTTGAAAACAATCCCTTGGAATCCTTCACAAAAACCCCTTGGAGACATGGTTGGAATGAGGTAACTAAGAAAGAATCATATTTGACCTTAGCATAAAACATAATACCCGAGTGAACAACATTTTAGAAGGTGTATGATAACTCTTGCATAAAGAAACCTAGTCTCTTAGTACATCCAAGGGAAAAAACAACATTTAAAATCAAGCAGTTAAATTAGAATTGCATATTTTCCGGACATTAGCATGGAAATATTAATCAGTACTGGTAGATGAATGAAGGCTGCCAACAAACGTTCTGTGGGACCTTGTGGTAGAGGTTTGCCTGAGGAGGACAGAACGGCTCCACGGTGGAACTGAGGTGAC